ACATCTTCTCCAAAAGTCTTCCGTTCCAGCAAGACGCATCGTCAAGATCTGTTTGCACACACACTGACACACAAAACAGCCCATCACGGTGTCCGCAGTCAAGGAAAGCCGGGCAAAACCTGCCCAGCTGGCACCTATATGGGCACGACCCCCTAATTATGGGAGCCGCACGCTTTTCACACAGCCAAAAGTGGAACAAGGAGGTTTGTGGCTAAAGACGGATGACACACCCCTCCCAAGAGCGCTGAAGGCAGGTAGAGAGAGAGAGAGGGATCGTTGCCCACGGATGGCTGTTCAACCCGTCCCCAACTCTTTTTTTTTTTAATCTCCTGTGAACAGACTCGGTCGGTTTTTCCAAAACATGTTGAACCAGGATCAACAACAGGACCAGAAAATGTTGTGCGTCTGTTCTTGTGTGTGTCCTGGAAGGAAATCTGAGTCTTTGTTACCGAGTCCGGAGTCCCTATTACAAACAAGCTTCTCTCCCCAGAAAGAGCGGAGGGTTGCTGGGGTTTCTAATCCTTTCTACCTTTGGTTTATTTCCTAAATGAGAATTCAGGATACCTTACGGAACGAGGAGAACAGAGAGCATTCGAGGTGACAGGATGCCACCCACAGACAACTAGGTCCTGCTTCCTCATCTTACGTTCTTACTGCTTTAAAAACACGTAAACGCAGTTCAGAGTGAGCCCCAAAGCATGACTTGGAACGCTCCGAACGTCCAACTTCTCTGTCCACAGGTACACATGATCTCCTCCTTCCAATAATCCTGGTTTGAGGGGAAAAAAAACATAACTTGCCTTTTTACTAAGGGGCCGTGCCTTCGCCACAAACCAGGATCAAACCATGGTTTATGGGGCCAGCACAAGGCTTTGTTGTTCAGTTTGGACTCAAGAGCAGGAGACGGTTTGTTTCAAACCAGGATTTAAAGGGTGGGCCGGAGGGGAAGGGAGAAAGCTCGGCGCCCCGTTGGCATGGGGGGGGAAAAACCGCTTCACAAACAGACACAGCATTCAGGCGGAAGGGAAACAAAAAGCATGACTGAAGAAAAATGCTCATTATGCCTTCTAACCGCTGACCGATCTGGACAGGAAATGTACCACCAGACACACACACACACACGCACGCCATTTTCCAGAAAGACAATTGGGACAACGACACACACACACACACACACACCATTTTCCAGAAAGACAATTGGGATAACAAATACTTTTAATTTTTGCACACTCTGGTTGCACCGTTCAATCAAAACCTGTGATCAAAACACAGATGGGTATCTGGAAGGCCCCTGACCACCACCACCACCCCATCAGAAGACAACCTAATGCTGTGCAGACACAGATAACCATTTCCTGGCAAGTTCAGTGATCTGTAATGGGGCAGATTTTACTTTCTTGGGCTCCGTGATCACTGCAGATGGTGACAGCAGCCACAAAATTAAAAGACGCCTGCTTCTTGGGAGGAAAGCGATGACAAACCTAGACAGCATCTTAAAAAGCAGAGACATCACCTTGCCGACAAAGGTCCGCATAGTCAAAGTTATGGTTTTTCCAGTAGTGATGTACGGAAGTGAGAGCTGGACCATAAAGAAGGCTGACGGCCAAAAAATTGATGCTTTTGAATAGTGGTGCTGGAGGAGACTCTTGAGAGTCCCCTAGACTGCAAGGAGAACAAACCTATCCGTTCTGAAGAAAATCAACCCTGAGTGCTCCCTGGAAGGACAGATCCTGAAGCTGAGGCTCCAATACTTTGGCCATCTCATGAGAAGAGAAGACTCCCTGGAAAAGACCCTGATGTTGGGAAAGTGTGAAGGCAAGAGGAGAAGGGGATGACAGAGGACGAGATGGATGGACAATGTTATCGAAGCTGCCAATATGAATTTGACCAAACTCTGGGGGGCAGTGGAAGACAGGAGGGCCTGGCGTGCTCTGGGCTATGGGGTTATGAAGAGTCGGACACAATTTAAGGACTAAACAACAACAAATGGGGAAGAGGTGGTGAGAGACAGCCAGCTAATCTTCAATAATGAAGAACAGCAACAGAGATGAGTTTCATCTGATTGACCTGCAAGCCCAGATTCTTGTGGTCGGAGAAAAAAAAGCAGAGACCACTGAGGGCTGGAAAACAAGCGCACATCTGAATCGAGGAAAGCGAACAGCAACAAAATACATCATTCGTGTTCCATATGAATTAACACCAAACACTGGTCATCATCCCCTCATTCCATACTGACCAATCACTCAATGTTGCTAAGCAGTCCTAAGCTACAGAAGGACAGGGCAGAAAGTTTCCACAAAACTAAAGGAAAATGGATATAACCATGTGAACTAGAATCATTAGTCATGTTTTGCTCCATGCTAATAACCAGCAAGAGGAGAAATGCGAACTGACACTTTTTACCACCCTGCCTTGCAGTACAAAAGGGGGATTAAAGAGTTGAAGGTCAACGTAGGTCTATAACGTGACCCTAAAGACCTTCCCCTTTCCAGCCACCTCCCACACTAGGGGTTCAAAATGGCTTCAGATTTTTTTGGGGGGGGGGACCAGCTGTGGTCTCTCACACACCCCCACTTTGCTCTTAAGCGTGCAAAAAATGGATATATATTGAGAAAGCAAAGCCCTTGAGACACGCAACGCATTTTCTCTTATTGGCTTTACACATCCTCTTATTAGAGATCACGCGGAAGGGATACCAAGGAAAGCGCGAGTCGCCTAGCGTTGCTTCTGTCGTTCCCTTTCATTCATGAAAACAATGCTTGCCGACGGCATCCAAGATCCTCTCCGGCAGCAGGTGAAGAGGACCGCAGGCCGCGTTTGGGGTGGCAAGGATCAAACCCTCAAATGCAAAATGCAACCTCAACTCTGCCTGCTGGCAGTGACGGTGATCCTGGGCAAATCAGTTCTCTTAGGCTGTGAAAATAAAACGAGGCACACCTCCTAAAAACAGCAAGGTTGGGAACTCTCTATGAATGGAGCCTCACGTAGGGATCTCAAGGCGAGTTCTTCCCGAAGATTATCAGTAGTGCACAGAATAGCAAATGTAGACAGTGCTTTAATGTTGCCCACCCTGCAAAGTCAATGACCATCCTCTACCCTGTGTGGAAGGATGGGCCTACCCCACAGAGCACGTCTGAACCCTCTCCTAGGATACAATGCCAACCAACATCACGTCTTTGGACTACTTTGTGCTTTGACGCTCATAGGAGCATCATCTGATCTCGGCCTCAGTCTTAGATGGGGCTCTGGTTTTATCCTCTAATAAAAAGAGGATTTCTGAGCATGCACAGAGATCTTTTACTCCCCCCAGCAAATAACACGGCCAGCTCCTAGACGATATAAGAGGCCGGCAGGAGACAAGACTGTTTTCAGGCCAGTGTGAGTCCAGGCGCTTATTTTAGAAAACAAATCAGTGACAATTCAACAGGCACAAACACAGAGAGACCTTACAAGCAGGCAAGAGGCCTCTTTACAAGGAGATAGAACTGTTCACTCAACTCTTTCAAAATACCATCAGTAACCTTAGCTGGCTTATTGACAGAGAGGGAGGCAGGGAGGGAGAGAAGGATCTGATCAACATAAAACACCAAAAATCTCCTTTCCCCCCCCCCAGCCATTCAGATCCAAGAGTCCAAAATACCAATTCTTGACATTCCATAGCTCATCCAGGAAGATAAAAAAAAAACATAAGCAATAAGAAATGGTGTTCTGTTCTCATCTACTGTCCAGTTTACAGGAGGTGGAAACGGAGGCCCAGCCTCAAAACTAGATCCCGATTCATTTGCACGGAGGTCCCGGAAAAAGAATCCAGGCATCCTGAGAAAACTCTTGCTGCCAATCCCTCAAACAGCTCCTTTCCTGGGGCCAGAAGGTCTAAATGCATGTTCCGGCTTCCTATCTCAGGAGAACACCATCACCCTCGCAAATCTTTAATACCTTCCTCCCAGTTTCGGTCCTCTTTCGCCAAGAGTCCCATGTCACTGTTCCCAGTTTCAGAAGGAAAAACAAAACAAACAAACAAAACATTGTAAAAAGCGCCACCAACGGAAACACAACGTCGTCCGGATGCGGTGGATCAAAGCGAAGCAAAACAAACAAACAAACAAACAAACTAAACATTGTAAAAAGCGCCACCAACAGAAACACAACGTCGTCTGGATGCGGTGGATCAAAGCATGAGCCAAAGCGGAGAAAGAACAGACCCACTCCTGCCGAGTTCTGGGTTCGCAAGCATCAGCCCGACGCAGCGCCGCGAGTCAAGCCAAACCGTATTTTTCCACGGGTTCTGTGCGGCCGGAGATCTCCGGCCACTTCCGTAAGCCTTAAGGAGCAAGGTCGGCTTTGGGGAAACGAAGCACGGATCTCCCCTAAGCACAGACTGGGAGAAGCTGGTAGCTAGGGGAGAGGGAGAGACCAAGGAGCAACAGGTCCATCAAGAAGAAGAATAAGACAGAGAGAGAGAAGAGAACAGGAGACATTTTAAAAAGCTGGGAACAAGATGAGTAGAAAGGGACACACGAAAGACAGAGTACAGGCAACGAAAGGGTGCTAGAAAGAGATACGGAAGGCATGGATGATGATAAGTTTCAAACGCCAGCCTGTGCCAAGAGGATGGAATAAGCACAGCGTGTGCCTAGGGAAGTAACAAAAGAGATCAAAGCGGGCACCCGACGAGGGGAAGGCAAGACACACCGCTAGACGAGAAGCAGGTAACACGCGGATGAGGAAAAAAATCCAGGGAAGGGAAAGGGAAGAGCCGGAAAAAACCCACACGCGTGAGAAGGAACGGAGCAGAAAGCCGAAAAGCCCACACAGGAGGAACCCAAGATCTGATGAGAGATGGGTGAGAGCATATCCAAAAAGAGAACAGAGCCAAGAGGCGAACAAGGAATGTGGGGAGACATAAGCGGGGGGGGGAGGAATGAAAGGAGAAGACCACCAGGAGGGGAGCCAAGGCGAGCCAGCAGTTGTGCCCGGTGCCCTCTGGTGCCCACACTCACCATCAAAGGGGGCCAAATGCCCACAGGGCCTGCTTCGTCCCCATCGCCCAGCCGGCCCGCAGCGGCCACCATCCGCCGTCTCGCTGCCAACCTCCAGCCGAGAAGAGGGCTCCTCTCCATATAGGAACTGCCCCCTACCTCCGCCCACCGCGTCACGGCCTGGCACAGGGCAGGGAACACGTGATGCCGACAAGACTGGTCATGTGTCCGTCCTCCGGCACGCGAGGGCCACGGGCTTCCCCGGGTGGAGGGAAACCGTCCACAGCAAAAAAAAAAAAAAGGCTGCGGAGGAAGGACATGTGTTGAGAAGCAGGAGGCAGGGCTGGGCCACATGCCAGTCAATCCGCCTGCGGACAGAGAAAACGCTGAGGCAAGGAGGTACAGTCAGCAGCAGCAGCTCCTGGGCACGCCACGAGGGGGCGCTGGCTGCAGGCAAGGGGGCAAACGCCGGCCCGTGCCAGGGAAGCTATACAGCGGAGGCAGGAGAGAAGCCAAGGGTACCCGGCTCAACAGGAACTGCCAGGCTTCTTACGAGGAAGCAATGCCTTGCCAGCTGGAGGGGGGGCAGGCCGGATTAAAACACAAACCGTCTTCCTACAAATCAAGCTTTAAGGGAGGGCACAGGCTGCAGGCATCGCAAACGGCTGGCCTCGGGCCCAGTGCGTTTGTCTCTAGGGTCCGAAACAGGATCGGGGTTCTGGGTCCTTCAGACAGACATCTGTCTGCAAAACCTTTCGGAGCCACAATTAGCCCACACGGGGGGTCCTGGCGGGGCACCTCAAATGTGGATGCGGACATTGCACCATGAATGCATGGATTGTACCAGGGTGCGAGGTGGGGGGGTCAACTATGGGCTATGGTCCCCATTCACCCATGGTTTATCGGAATATAGCATGCAGATCTTTGCCTTAAGCGGGGCAATCCTCGTAAGGAAAAGAACCGACAGAGGCAATTTTTGCCCCAGCCAGGAGGGGGCGGTGATGTCACGGTGGAGAGGGAAAAGAGGCAGGATCTGCGGTCGGAAACCCCTGCCTGCATTTGAGAACACAGTGATTTAGTAGATCACAGCGATTGCCTTAACAGAGAAAATGCAGGATCAGGTAATCAAGAGGCTGTGTCTGGGCGTTGCGACGTTAAGGTGCTTTCTCCAGCCATCTAAAAGGCAGCACTGACTAATGGTTAGAGCGGAGGGGGGGAGTGCAGAGGGATTTTAGCAGAACTGCCAGAGGCAGCTGATCCTTTTAAAAAGGTGATCTCTTTTAGTCCACAATAAGCCGGTCTAGAGCGACCTGACAGATGCCATTTTAGCCAAAAGAGCAAATCACACCCACCCGCACACTCCGCCACTGGCTGAATTATACGGACTCTCCTTTTTGAGTGTTCATTGGACACCTCTCCACTTCTGCCTGCTCTTCGTTCTTGGCTTAATCCCTCATTAAGGGAAATGGAGTAAAGCGGGAAAAAAGGAAAACACTAAACCACCCCATGAGGTCCACACTGGACTTGTGCCCTTCCGACCGATGCCAGGGACAGAGGCCAAGTTCTGCAACGGGACATGAAGTGAGGCGGGTTTGTCATCATCCAGCCCAAAGGACGTAGAGGAGCAACAGAGAGCAACACGCCCACCTGGGCACTGGGGCACTGCCACGGCTCCACGCCCTTGTCTCATGGCATAACGCACCAAAAAGCTCGCTGCGCCCACAGCCAAAAAGCACACCGCAAACGGGATGCTGTGCCAAGCTCCCGTGAGCCGTACCTGGCCCCCATCCCCCAAAACAGCTCGGCCACCCTCTATCCAACTTGCCATGACCCACTTCTGGAACAGTCTGCACCCATTCGACCCCACATATTTCCACCACCCCAAGTCTGCCCACATTCCACAGGGAGGAAATGTGCTGAGTTCTACTCGGGGACTTCTTCCAGGTCTCCAGTCTGGTTCTTAAAAACCTTTTTGCACCTCAAAAAAAAAAAAGCATACACCTCCTTCCCAACAACATCCTGACCCCATAAGCCCCCTTTTCCTGCCCATCTTCCCATGCCCTCGCTTTTGCTGGCCATTTAAATTCCCGCACGGGACAAACCGGGTCAGCCTCCCAGTCGCTAAAATAGCCCCCTCCACTGCCAAATTCATGAAAGGGGGGCTCTATCTAAAGAAGCCAGGGTCCCCTGACTGCAAACATTCTTCATCACAACCATCATCCTCCTCCTCAGAAAGTGGCCAGACCATTCCACTGCCCCAGCCTTTTCCCGTCAGAGGTTTTCGGGCTTTTTATTTTTTTACTCCCCTGGCGCTACTGTACGAAGATGCCTGCCAACGCTCTGCCTGCCAAAGGCGCACAGATTTGGAAAGAGCTCTGCCCCGTGCACTTGCTGGTTTTCCTTTCCCCTGCAGACATCCTTTAAATCAATATACTGTACTGTATATATACAGTACATCTAAACAGACCTGCACAGATCTAGGTGTGCATGTCTATGCCCAGGCATATCAAAGAATGTTAAAAGCTCCCTGGTGCAGGTGTTTCTGAAAAGGCACCTCTTTTTGAACACCCTTCCTATTTTGTTCCTTCTTTGCAGAGTTCCTCCTTTCCGCCCACCCCCCACCCCTACATCTAATCCATATGATTAGATTACCCAGCCGGGTCTAAAGGCAGTCCGCAGAGAGAGAGGCCATGATAAGAGATTACAGCCGTTGTAAACAAGGCATGCAGGCGACCAAGCTGCATCCACACGACTCCCGGGAAGGGAAAACTGTCGCAAGCCGGTGCCTGGGGGGGGGGGGGGGGGCGCGAGGCTATTTCAGGATCAGAGCCTCCCCACTGTTTGGGCTGGCAAGCAGCCTGCGCTGGCGAGCGAATCCGGAACAACTACGCGGCCACCTTTTCCTCTCCCCCAAGAATTCTAATTGCTGATGGATTTTCTTCTTCTTCTTCTTTTGCCCTTGGCACCGCGCTCCACTGTAAGCGACTGGATTCCCTTGCAGCCGAGAGGACATAATTAAAAAAAAAAATACAACTCTTTCTTCCTCCTAGCTCGAAAGAAAGTCGGGGGGGGGAAGCAAATTCCATGCACCCACCACGGCAACATGTCGCCACAGGGTGACTCTTTGGCCAGCAGGAGGTAAAACCCGGTCCCCTGAATTCATTGAGCATTTTTTTTCCAAACACCGATCCAAGCTCACCTCCCACGCCGCCGCAGGGACCCCGCAGGCACGTCCCGCCTCCAGCAAAAGCGCCCCAAGGTGTTAAAAGGACCCCGGGAATTTTGCAAGGAAGGCGGCTGGGTTTTTTCGGTTTATTAAATTTTCCCGAGGAGGGGGGGCGTCCTGTGTGGAACCCCAGGAATCCAGACACCCGACGGGGGAAGGGGGAGCCAAATCTGCTGACTGTGCATGGCATCGTCCCTCCCTTAAGGTGTGTGTGTTTTTTTTTTAAAAAAAAAGAAGAAATCGCCCTAATTTTCGGGGTGAGAGCCACCGCCGGCTGGAAGAGACCCCTGCAGGAAAAAAAAGGATCGCAAGAAAAATAAAGCGCGCCCCCCCCCCGCTATCCAAAACGGGGAGTGCGCATTTCTCGCGCATCCCGCCGGCGCAGAGCTCACCGCGGCGCACGCCCCGAAAATATTTCCCGCGGGGGTGGGGGTGGGGGAGAAAAGGAGGCTGCGCCCGCAAACCGGCCTCCCCGCCCCCGGACTTTTCGGGTTTACCTTGGGCATTGCAACCCATTCTCCATCGCGAAGCAGATCTCCCGGCTCCCCCGGTCCGGCTCCCTTGGTCGGCTTTGCGCTCTGCGCTCTGCGCTC